AGTTACGTATAGAGGGCCGGATCCTATAAGTATAGGGGCAAGCTAGCCGCGTATAAAAGAGCTCTATATAGCTTACTAATATTATCCTATAGATAGTACCTACGTATACGCCTCTGCCTACTCCGTAATAGTATAAGCTATTAACTAATAAATCTAATAGATATCTCCCTAGAAAGGGTGCCGCTTCCTTAAGGGAGTACCCCGCTACCCCTTAAGCGGATAGGAAGTATTATAGCTATCCTAGAAGCGATTAAAAGCGCGACGGCTAGCGAGAAGAATAAGGTTCTCGCTATACTAAGGGAGCCGTCTATAAGACTAGCGTTAACCCCTATAACCTTAGTAATACTAGTTATAGCGGCGGTACTACCGATATAGAAGCCGCTTCCTTAGCCGACTTAAGACGGTAAGCCTAAGTCCTTCTACTTCTTCCTTAGCTAGCTATAGATAAAGTTTATAATAAATAAGAAATAGGGCCTAAACGGCTATTATAATATAGCGTAGTATTTGCTCCTTTATACGCTACCGGAGCCTTAGATATAGCGGATCTTTAAATTCTAAGATAAGGGTAGCCCTAGAGGTAGACGCGACCTATAGGACTTCTTCTAACACCTTATATATACGTTCGGCAACGTATAAGAGCGGGAGAAGGCATAGGATAGGCTATAGACCCTTAAGTAGAGGGATAGGTAGACCTTTAGCGAATTCCTCCTTAACTTTAAAGAGACGCTCTTACGAGTAGCGGGAACTATAGTATAAGAAGATAGCGCGAAGCTTATATAGTTATAGAACTTAATTACGCTGGCCCTATAAGAGCTACTTATCCCTATAATTATACCTACTAACTATAGCGAGTATATAAGCTAGTTAATAAAGGTAGTATAGGGCTATAAGTAGACGCTGCGTTTTTAAAAGCTTTATAAGCGTACGCTATATAGCGGTAATAGGATTACTACCCCTTTATAAGAGGAATAGCTAACTATTAATACTAATAGAGATACCTTAATATCGGCTACTTATATAGACCGAGCTAAACGTAGTAGGAAGTTATCTTTAAATATCCCTTATACTATCTCGCTCTTTAAGTAGTAGGCGAAGTAGGTAACGAGCGAGGAAATCGGGAAAAGGAAGGCTAACGGCCGCTACTTACGTTATAGCGCGTTTATATACTTTATATTAAAATGCCCCTTCCTTTTAGCTAAGCAGCCTATAGTAGTTTAAGTAGTAAAGATAGAACCGCTCCTTTATAACGACCGGTATTATTCTTAAGGGATAAACCTACTAAAGGGTTTATATTAGTAGATATAATAGGGCGTGGTCTAAGCAATAATAAGTATATTACGTTAGTAATAAGTCGGAGGTCGTAGACCGTAAACTATAACTAAGTAATTAGAATTAAAGATAGAATCGTAATAAAGATCTATATTAAAAGCTAGAGAGCTATTTATTTAAAGGAGTAAAAGTAGGTAGCTATATATACCTATAGAGACTATTATTAGATTACGGTCCTAGCTATAATCCCCTTTATAGCTTACTATAGCTTACTTATAAGCTATACTCCTAAGTAGTAATCTATTTATATAAGGCTTACTTAGCTTACGTACGCTCTAGGTAAGCTAAGCTTAAGTAACTTCTTGTCCCGACTATTATTCTAAGCCGCTTTATTACGTAAACGTAGCTAGCTCTCCTATAGCCCGCTAACTATAGTCGTAATATAATATCCCCCCTCTTTTTAGTCTTATCCGTAAGACCTACTACTACCTTAGCCGCCGTATATAAATATACCCTTATCGCGCGTATATATATTCCCCGTTCGTTCTTTCTATCCCTTAAGATATACTACTAATAGTATATTTAGTCGCGTATTAAAGGATCGTTCTCGTAAGACCCTTAAGCGTATTCGTTTAGCTAAGTCTATTAATCGTCTTAGTTTCGACGTTATACTATATTCTTTTTATTCGTCGCGTAGTTTCCGCTATAAAATACTAGAGAAATCTTCTAAGTATACTAAATATATACGGCGGGGTCGTTCCTACGATATATTAGGCATAGCGATTAGCTCCTATAGGTAACTTCGTTATCCTACCTATTATTTATAGCTAACGTATATCCTAGTATCCCGAATAAATCTAAAGTCCGATCGATTAAATAAAGAAGAAGAAATTACTAAGGAGCGAATATTAAAAGCTTAAGCCGACCTAAACGAAGCCTTAGCTTATTTAGCGCGGCTTTACCGTTAAAAGCGCTAGCTAAAGATAAAGGGTACTAAGATAGTCCGTCGGGGCCTTTATTCCTTAGATAACCTTAACGAGGCTAAGCGCTAAGAATTTAAAGCGGTAGTCGATATTTAGTCTATAGGTAGATTTAATATAATTAATTAAAATGCTATTAGTTCGTTAGGTAATTTTATAATACCTAAGGTAGATTTTACTAGTAGAACTATCGAAGTAGAGAACTATAGTAGGTTAAGTACTTAAGTAGTTCCTAGGTATTTTCTTCTAGTCTATATCCCTTTTACTTAATAAGGTATTCTTATTACTAACCTTATTTTCTTATATCTAGTATTTATTTAGCTTTATATTCCTAATTATTATTAACTTTAATTTTTTCTTATAGTTTAGCGTTTTATAGTACTAGTTTTAATAATAAGATATAAAATATTAGGTATATCCGTATTATCGTTAATAGCGAAAGTTCGTAGTTAACTTTTAAAATAATTTTCTTAACCTTAAACGGTCTAAGTTTCTTAAAATCTAATTTATTACTTAGTCGTTTTATTTTAATATTTCGTCGTACGAGGTAGACTATATCTCCCTCTTAAAAGATTAGTCCCTATAATCTTTTCCGATTATAGTAAGTAGATATTCGTTTTCTAATAAATTAAAGTTCTTATTATATTTCTTTATATAATTTTTATAGCTAATCTACTTATAGTATCGCTCGTTCTACTTATAGTCCTTATTAAGTAACCTTAAATACTTCTAGGTTATATCTATAATTAGCGTATACTAATAAGAGCTTAGTTATTTTTATAACTAAGCTATTATAAGCTAGTTACGCTATTAGTAGCTATTTAACTTAATTGTTTTATTTATAGCTAATATAGTATCGTAAATATTATTTAAGCGTTTAGTTAAGTTATTTTATTTATCTATCTATTTATAGGTAATAAGCTATACTAAGCTTATATTTCGTCCTTAATTATACTATAAGAGCTTACTAAAACTTAGCTATAAACGTACTTCCTTTATTAAAGATAATCTCGTTTAGTAGTCTATAATTACTAATAATAGTTTATAGGAATATATATACTAGCTCTTTTATATTACTTACTTTTTTATATAGTAAGAAGTACTTATACTTCGTTAGTCTATTAGTAATAACGAATATACTATCGTACTTAACGTTAGTTATAGGTTCTTTTAATAGTAATAGCTTTATAATATAGTCGAAAGCTATTAAATCCTATAGTTTTTCTAGTACTAGTAGCGGTTATAATTCTCTATATAGTTTATATTATTTAGCTTTACTTTATACGTAAAGTTTATATTCTTTAATAACTTATTATACTACTTCTTTAAGCTATAGGAAGTTATATTATCGTTTAATCCGTTTTATTATTCTTTAGATTCCTTAGTATCTATATATTAGATATTCGTATATATCTTATATAACTTTATCTTATAATTCTAGTAGTATCTAGATTTTATTTTTATATATTAAGACTTCTAAATATCCTATATTATATCCGTTTAATACTTTATATTCTTTTATTTATTTTAGGATCTTTTAGTAAGTTAAGTTATTAGGTTATACTTTAAATATTATATTTAGCTATTATTACTAGTAGTTCCCGTTTTCGTTAATTTCTAGGAGCTATCCTTTCGCTATAGGTGCCCCTATATTATAGTTACTTTATTAACTAAAGGTATTAGCTCGACCGTTTTCTATTCCTTTTCTATAGATTATTTCGTAGTTAAATTCTAATAAGTATTCGGCCTATTAGATTTATCGTCCGTTTAACTATTACGTCGTTATAAAATATAAGATATTCTTATAGTCTATATAGACCTTAACTTTATATTTACTTCTAAGAAGGTAGTATTAAAATTCCTTAAAAGCTTAAATAATTATAAGGAATTCTTTATTATAGATAAGGTAATTAGGTTCTACGCTATATAGCTTCTTCGAGTAGAATATAATTAGTCGTAGTCTTCTTTTATTATCTTTTTATTTAATTTATACTCTTAGAGTAAAGTCTAATATATTAGTTTTAAGTTCGATTTATTATTTTAGATCGAAGGTAGTTAAGACTAGTTCTTATATAATTATAGTTTTAATATATTCGAAAGCTTTATTAGCTTTATCGTCTTATATAAATTCTTTTTCCTTCTTTATTAAGTTATATAATAGTACTATAATCTTTCTAAAATCTTTAATAAATTATTAGTAGTAATTTATAAATCCTAAGAAACTTTATATATCCTTAACGTTCTTTAGCGTTAGCTATTCTTTAACTAAGTTAATTTTATCTTATTATATTTATATCTCTCTTAGTAAGATTGTATATCTAAGGAAGTTTACTTCTTATATATAGAACTTACTCTTCTTTAGTTTAACTAGTAACTTTATATTTTAAAGTACGCGGAGTACTTTATAGACGTATTCTTTATATTCTTCTAAGGTATCTAAGAAGATTAGGATATTATCTAGGTATACTACTATAAAGATATCTAAGTATTCGCGTAGGATATTATTAATTATCTAAAATACGTCGAACAGCTGTTAAGTTGCCAAGGCAATGGGCTTAACGGCTGAATATCCAGCCCGAAGGCTGAACATCGTATACCTGCAATTCGGCTTTCCCAAGGAGGGCCCCTAGAAACCCCCCTTTCGCCTGCAGCGGCCAACCAGCTATTTAAAACGCTTCCTAGCAGGCCCAGTCTAGCTATATACCCTATACCTCACCGCCCCTTTCCCTGTAGCTTAGGGGAAGACGACGTTTAGTCAAGATAAAGTGGTGGATACGGCGCATCGGTAAGCTGTTGAGCCTGACGGCGTTTTTGGTCAGCGAGGCGCATCTTCATCCCTATCTCATAGTTAGCCGTGAATGCAATACGTAGGAAATGCGCATAACCTTCCGTCGGCGCGTGGTTATAGAGGCTCTGACGATCGAAAGGCGCCTCAAGGAGTAAGCCTTGCAGCGACGTAACCCGTGATACAGCAACATAGCTAATACCGGCCTGGAAGTCGCGTGAAGCGAGGTCAGTAACTATTTGATCCTTCGTTAGGCTCTGGCATTTGTGAACAGTGATAGCAAAAGCCACCGTCAGGAAACTGCGTGCGAGCGCAGGTCTCGTTGCCCACTAGGAAATCACGCCTGACTGGGAGGATGGGTGAGATTTTCCTGCCCTCATTAGTTGTTAGATATGACGGTCCGTCGTAGCTGTCAAAGTCCACCATGATAACGGCTGGGGGGTCTTCCAATGGGTCGGCGCCTGCGTTCCAGGCGATATCGTATACAGTACCCTGAGCACCGTTAACTAGGCCAGCTGGCTGCCATAGGTTAGTAGTGAGCATTACCCTGGCGCCCTTGGCAACAGGGAACTTGTTAGATAGATTGCCAGCATTGTCGCTTGGTGCCTGTCCCGCGCCCTTGCCCTGATTCTTTGCCTCCACCTGTATTGCCGGGGCGTTGAGGTGCACCATATGCTCGTGGTTGTATTCGTTGACCCGGGCCTTTGTAGAATACACCCGCAAAGCGGTACTGAAGCTGTCAACCTCACCCTGCATTAGCCTAGCCTGTACCCGATTACTAAGGAGGTTCCAGGACGTTATAGACAACTTGACTTCACGCAGTTCCTGCAACGCCTGACGGAACTGGGCCTGATCATCGCCAACCTGGCGCTGTACCGTGATCAGGAAGACAGTGCGGTCAAACAACCGGTAGGCTACCTGCCCTTTCCTTTCCAACGAGGACAGGCCGGTTCTCGTCGAATACAGGGCTTTTGCCGGACTGGTGGCAACTGGAAGAAATCGCCCACAAGCAAGACGCTCACACCACCAAAGAACTCGACTTTGCGCTGTGGAAAGGCCTGTCGCAAACGGGAATCGATCCGCGCGAGCTGCTCAAGCCCTAGCATGCTCTTTTCATCGATAACGAGGTATTTCACGTGCCGTAGGCGGGACTGAAGGGCGGCTGCGTCGGTTGGGGAAGGTCGGTAAAGGACCACCCACAGGAGGCGTAGCAACGAATGAATAGTGCTACCCTGTATCTGGTTACTCGCAACGCCTGTTGGCGCCACGCGGCAAATTGGGCTAGGATTCGGTAGGGCGGCTGCCTGAAGATGGGAGGAAAGCACCTTGATAAGGAATGACTTGCCTGTGCCACCACCACCATCAACGTGAAGAAGGATTTGAGTAGGATTTTGCGCCTGGAAGTGACCTATGAATGTGTCGTACACGAGCCGTTGTTGTGGGTTCAGCTCATCACGCCAGTGAGGGCCAAGGACCTCCACATTGTTGGCTACGGGTGGCTAGCGATAAGGTCTTTCCAGTAGCCATCTCGAAGCTCCGGATAAGTACCCACATGCCGGGACCAGTCGTAATTGACGTCGATATCGCGGTGGCCAAGTATGTCAAGGTCTTCCTGGGTAAGGGGTGGTCAGGTAAAGGGCGGCCAGGCGAATCCAGTCTTCGTCATCAAATTCTTCCTCCACAGGCAGAGCCTCGTATTGATCCTCTTGAGGCTGTAATCGAGCCTCACTTGGCTGGCCGTAATGGTCATCATCGTGACTGTGATGCTGCCAACAATAGGAGAAGGCCTGAACGTGGAACTAAAAAGCTGGCCGTCGAAAGTGAGGAGCTCATCGAGCCGGCGATGTGGGTGATTTAAAGTCAGCTTTACACGGCAGTAGTCTGGCCACTGCTGGCCTTCTGGATCAGCCTGATAGCGAGGAAAGTAAACCAACACACGGGGCCTGCCGTGGACGTTGCCTGGCTGCCATTGCTTCCACTTGGAAGGGTCTCTAGAGCGGAAATTCCAGAATTTGAGGAAGGAGACGTAAGTGAGGTCCGTTAGAGCTTCTGGGCGTTGACTGTACTTCTCGTAGACGTTGGGTGCCTCATCAACCTCATCGCCGTCAATGCGGAGGTAGCGGGAATGCCTATCAGAATTACGGCAGTCAACGTATAGGCAGGTACGTGAACCCTCCTGTAACGGCAGGCCGAGGAGCAAGTGGCAAACCTCCTGCTTCGAGTAATCCCGCTCAGAAACTAGCTGATTTAGTAGCTTTGACGTAAAGGAAATCAGGGGGTTGTGGTCCTTAACCCGGGGCATCAGGGCCTTCCCAATCTGGGCAAAAGAATCGCTCTTCTTTTCTGACTTGGAGCAGTATTTTGCTGCGTAGTCGATCACCTGCTGTAGACTCGTGCAGGGCGAGACATCTGTATTGGCTAGCCACGCAACGGTAAGCAAGCGGTTATAGTGGTTAATCTGGCCATCGTTCCGCGCCCCTAAAGCTCCAGTGCTTAGAGTGAGGAGCCTTGTCAAGGGAGGCTAGTAGGCGCTGGCCGTGAGGAAATCCGAAGCGGCACTCCATCTGCTTGGTATGCTTGCTGAGGTGCATACAGTAGTTGTTACAGTGGTGGCGTTGCACGCGGTTGACTATCATCGATAGGAATTGAACGGTAAGGGGGTGTTGCAACAGATTAATGATCAGAGGGTTTCCTTCTCCGGGTGCCTGTATGCGCCGAGGCTCCGGGTTGATAGCAGATATGTAATATCCCCAGATACGGGCGAATCGCTCTCGGGACCGATCATTGTCAGGATCCAAGTCTGGGTGGCCACTTAGCCAATATAGGCCATGGTGGTGACTGGAACCCCTGCCCTGCCACTCGTACCGACCCCAAAAGTCCGTTAGGTTGAACTTCCGCTTCAGGACAATAGCCTAAGCAATGTATAGCGCTTATGGAAGTGGTAAGCGGCGATGTGGGCGTTGTCTCGCAGCAGTTGCCGGGACAGAGCAATCCGCGCCGCCTCGGGAGCTGCTTGCCACTCGTCGAATCGAGGCATATGACGGTATAGGGATTCCCAGTGGTAATCAGCTGCACTTACAGTAGCGAAGAGGCCGGGCCTGCCTAGATTATAGGCATATGCTTCCAACTCCTTCCTTTGCTTATACCAATACGGTCGGGTTCCCCTGATTACCGCTGCTTGGCGCGTGATCGACTGGATCAGGGCCTGAGCCTCCGGCTCGTCAGGCTCAGCCATCGCCTCCTCTAGGTCAGCGCGTGTAAGGGTTGGCGGCGGCTGTCGCGTTGCCTGACAAAGTAGTCACTTCGCTTTCGGACCTGCGCGCGTAACAGCGTGTTGAGGGCGACGAAAGGCCACGTCTTATGGCGGGCAAAACGTCCATCACGCCATCTCATCGCATGGCCAAGGTAGTCCTGGTACGTGATGCTCCGTAGGCGAGGCTCCACGAAGTCGGCCTTGCCGTCAGGGTAGAGGGTGGGGAACGCGAGCGTTAACAGCGGCTGGGAACGGTTGAACTCGTTGATGGGGGTCCTGCGAATGGAAGGCAATGGCATCTGGTGGTGAGCCTGCGCGCTACGCGGCATGTACTCCAGATCAGCCATACGCTCAGGGTCAGGGGTACCGTTGAGAAATCTAGACTGCAAGGCGTTCAATTCGGTATCGGTAACCTGCAAATTCGGGATCGCTGATGCGTCGGCATCGCTAGGATCCTCATCCATAGCCTCCTCAACGGGGCCTTGGGGGACCTCGCCGTCAGGTATGTCAGCCACTTGGCTTGCAATGGAACCCACTATACTTCCATCAAGAGGAAGCCGGTGCAGGCGATCCTGGCTCACGACAATATCGCGATAGCCCGGGTGGTGGCACTGCAGGTAATGCAGCCAGGTCAATAGGCATGAACGGCGTACCCGGAAATCGCGAGCAAACTGTTGCTGGAAGTGAGGGTCGCCTTCCATATTAGGAGGCCGTAGGAGCACGATATCTAGCTCCTGCGGTAGCACTGGGAGCTCTTCAAATAGCCTACCAACGTTGCGAAGAAAGTGGACAACGTGGCCTCGATATTTGTATTGAGCGCCGCGCACTTGTAGGACCTTGACGTGTACGTGAACCCTAGCAATGAGCATCTCCTCGACCATCGTTAGATCAGGTAGATTGCCGGGACTTCCCGAAGTCAAGGTTATTCGCGGCGCTAAAGAAGTAGGGCTCGTTAGGGGCTTTCTTCCTGTCTCGACCGATGCAGCGGCTGCATATTTTTAAGCGGTTTGGCTTCATATCAAACCAACGCTCCTGGCAGCGAGTGCAACTGTGCATCTTGTCGTCATTCAGGGCGGTATAGAACTCCCGCACAAGGGCCTGATCTTCCTCATTGAGGGCAGGCAAGTTAAGGTCACCTGTAAAAGGCGGATCAATACTCTGATCAAACAGTCGCACTTGAGGCTGTGTGCCTTGACGAGTATACCGGCCGCGGTGATGACCCTGTGGCAATAATGAAGGAGTGGTAGGAAGCGATTCCTGTGGTATAGGAGTGCCTTGCACAACAGGAGCTGTAGAAGCACTGTCTTGAATCGGCGTGCCCAGAACTACTGTTGGCAGGCCAGGGTAGGGGATAGGGAAAGTCCTCGACAATGCTTGGGGTAGAAGGCCTCAGCGGAGGTCTAAGCATTCTCGAGGGCGCGGGCACCAGGCAACGGAGTAAATCAGGCGTCGTAGGCCGTAAGCCGTTCGCAGACGCAGGTATTGGTGCAGTCCGCCTTGGAGGCGTCAGGTTAGCTACTGCGTCGGTCCTCTTCGTGGCTCTGCGTGGCGATGGCCTCGAGGCGATATTCCGCATGGCGGCAAGGACGGCTCGGGATTCGGTTAACCGCTCCCTTCGGCGTGCCCTACAGTTGGCACACTCTCTTGTAAACTTTGTAGGGTCCTTGACGCTTCGAAACTCGACTTCGGGCAGGTCTTGCTTGCAAGTACGACAGTTGCGGACTGCCGGGGGTGTATCGTTCTCCATCTGACCGTATATATATCCACCTCTTATCCACTTTGACTGCTAGATATCGCTCGGGCAGGAGGCTTTGCGAGGGCTTGGTGATGCTAGCAGAGCTGTCTGACGGTTGAGAGGTCCGAGACCGTGGTGGAGCTCGATAGGGAGTGTCTTTGAGGTAGTCGGCTCAGATCTGAATGATCTGGGAGGAAACTGCACTACCTGCCCGGGTAGGCCGGCTGCGGATGTGATTTGCGAACCTAGACACCGTTAGCAACTCGATGGGTTCGACAGATTCGACGGGAAAGGGAAGTAGAAGCGTGCGTATAAACCAACAAATTGATTGCGTTGAAGAAAAGAACAACTGAAAGCTGTCGGCGAGCTCTCCGAGAGCTCGCTAGTTACCTAGTCAACGCTCAGGGGTTTGTGGTGGGCCTTCATTTGGTGGCGTTATCAGCCGACCAATTCGTTCACGAGTTGAGGACAGGGGAGGCCAAGTAGCCAATCAGAACAGGGTTTATGCTCTTCTTTTTGACTGAATAAACGCCCTTCGGGCTGAATTAAAAGGTAGCTAGTATATTTATAAGTCTAAATAGTATTACTAGATATTTAAATAGTCTAAATTTCGTTTTAAAGGCTATTATCTATTTATATCCCTTTTTTATATATATTAAGTTATAGGCGCCTTTAAGGTTAAGGGCTATAAACTATTTTTTACTATATAGTCGATCTCGTAGTTTTAATATAAGCGGTAATAGTATTCGGTCCTTTATTATAATATCGTTTAAGCGTCTATAGTCGATAACTAGTCGTAGCTAGCCGTTTTTCTTTAAAATAAATATAACTAGGTAGCTTACTTTAGATATTAACGTTCGTATATATCCCTTTTATAGATTCTCGTTAAGGTAGTCGCGTAGTATTTATAGTTGCTTTTTATTTAAGTTATAGATTTTATAGAACGTTAGCGTTATTCTATCCTTAAGATAAATTTCGTAGTCTTATTAGCTATATTTAGGTAACCCTATCTTAAGTTCTTCCTTAAAGAGTTTATTATATTTCTAGTATTCCTAAGGGATATTCTTTATTCTATCTTATAGGCTTTATTCTTTCTTTTAAGAGCTAGTTTCTCTTAATTTAAGCTCTTTATTAATTTATTTAAGGTCTTTCCTTAGAGTAGTAATAACTCTTTAGATCTTTATATTATATCCTTTATTCTATTTATATTAGATACTAGGTTATATAGCTATATTAGTTAGTATATAGGTCTTATTAATCGATTTTATTATATCCGCTAGTTTAGTTACTATTTTCGTTTATATCGCTAAAGCCTATAATAATTTACTTAAACGGTTATCCCTTTTATCTTATTTAGTAGCTAAATTATTATAAAATTTTACTTTCTTTTAAATCTATTAGTCCTAGAAACTTATATCTTTATTTTAATATAGCTAGCTAGTTCTTTAGTTAATTAGTAGGTTGCTCTCCTATAGCTATAGAAGCCCTAATATAAAGTTATATTCTCTAATATCTATAATATTAAAGTTAACTTATTTATCGTAACCCTAGATATTAATATCGAGGTAATTAATCTCTATATTAATAATTCCGTTATTATAGTTAAAGGCCTCTCTTTTAATATTCGTAAGTTTATATAGATCTTTCTTATATCTCTATATAAGTCGGTAACGATTAATAACTCTAAGTAAAACGTAATTACCTATCGCGCCGTAGTCTAAAAGTATATATATATAATATCCCGCGATTTAAATATCTAATACTATTTAGTCGCTATAGCTTACCGTTACTATATATAGGGTCCTTAGATCTTATTATATCGTACTAGTCTATAGCCCTTTTATAGATAGTATACCTTATTTTTTACTTAATCCTTATTTATTTTATTTAGGTATTCTTCTTCGATTTATTATTAATATTATTTCTTTATATTTTTATCGCGTAGTATTATATTAGGGCTTAAGAGACTAATTTCTTATAGCTAATTAAAGATTTTTTATTTCTCGACGCTATATCGTTTATATTATACTACTTCGTAGTTAATTACGTACTATACTTTATAATTTTATTCGTTTTTATACTAAAGGTTAAGTTTTTATTTAGCGTCTTTTTATTTTTTATATAGTATTTCTATATTAATTCTTCCTTAGTCGAATATAGCTTATAGCCTTTATATATATTACTAATAATCTTTTAGTATACCGTTATATCGTTTATACTATACTTATACTTTTTTATATTTATAAACTCTATAGTTTAGGTATATATACTTATTATAATCTTCTTCGTTATATTTAACTCGTTATATAAGTCTTTAAAAAACTAAGGGTTTAAATATCTTAAAGCGAGTAGCGTTATACTATTCTTTTATTTTAGTATATTTATAGATTTTATATATCTCTAAAAGATATCTTATTAATAAACCGTAATTATCGCGGTATTTAAGTAGTATACCGTAATTAGGTTCTAATAATATAACTTAGTCGTTTAGGTAGCGTTAATCGATTTTCTAGTAGTTTAGTTTTATACTTAAGTAGGGTTTCGAAAGTACTTATCCCTTAAACCTAACTAGGAAGGCGTCGTATTATACCTTTATCTAAAAGTATATTATATAATCTAGGTAGATATATAATATCTATAAAATATACTTATAGTACTTATAAGTAAGTAGTATTTATAGATTATCTCTAAATTCTCTTTATAGTTACTATTCTCGTTATAAAGCTATAAAGGTATCGACTACAGCGATAGCTATAGCGTAGTCTCTTCTATATAATGCTAGTTAATATCGAATTAATATAGCTTATTAGTTTTCTATAAGGATTTAAGGTATCTATTAAGTTCTAATTTTAAGTATTTCTTTAAATTCTTTAAAGTATAGAGCGTATTCTTTAATTATAGCGTTTTCCCTTAGTAGTAAGGGTAGTAGTATAAGTTCGTTCTTATCTTTTATTTCTCTAAGTATTTCTTATTCTTTAAAGCTTATATCGTCGATACTTCGTTATTTCTTTTTACGTTACTATCTAAGTTTCGTAAGTATAAGGGCTACGTCTATATCTTCTTTACTATATTATTAGTAGACTACCTATTATTATTATCGATTTTTATTTTATATATCTTCCTAGAATTATTTACCGTTCTTCTTAATTTAGTCTTAAGAGACTCCTTTAAGATAAGGGTATTTTAGTTCTACGAATTTAACTTATTTCTATATTTTAAGATCCCTTCGTTATATTATTATAAGGGTCTTCTTTAATAGCTTTAGGAACTATTTAATACCGTTCTTATTACTTAAGTATACTATATATTCGTCGTTATAGTATATAGTCTAACTAAGGAGTTTATACTTTAGTTCCTATCTATTAATAGCGTTTAAGTATTTCTTACCTTTTAAGGCTAGTACTTAGTAGGTTTTCTTTTCCTTATAGGGTTATTTATATTCCTTAGAGTAATATCTAAGTTTCTTATAGTTAAAATACTTTCCTTTACTTTTCTATATTATATCTAGATCTATCTTACTTAAGTTAGTTATATAAGTATAGGTAATAGGAGTTTCGCGCTTCTTTTTATAGTTAGCGCGTTAGTTAAAGTTATTCTTATAAGAAGGGTTTTAGTTTCCTCTTCCTTATTTCTTTTCTTAGTATCGCGTATACTATCTATTATCGATTTATACTACTATAGTAATATAGTCTAAGAGGTTATTAAGTCGATTTTCCTTATAGAGCTCGTCTTTAACTTCTTCTTTAAGCCTATTATAGAATCGTAATATAAGAGGTTCGTTGTCTTAATTAAGCTTTAAGGTAACTTAATAGAACTTTATAGTATAATTTAATACTAAGATCCTTTATCGGAGTTCTTAAAGTTTTTATTTAGCTTCTTATTCTTTATTAGTTATTCTAAATACCTTTATAATAGCTTCTTCGAATCCTTAGAAACTAGTAAAGACTTTATCTATCTCGTTATTTTATCGCGTTAGTTAGTTATTAAGAAAGTCCCTTATAATAGGTCTAAACTAAGCGAGTGCTATTCTAGATAAATAATTTCCTATATAAAGTACCTTTTCGACTAGGTCTAAGAGTTTAGTAGGGTAAAACCGGTAGTAGGCCTTAAGTTAAGTAAGAAAGTCTTAAAACGTACTATAAGTAC